TTCAATCAAAGCATTTATCTCCTGCTCCAAAAATTTATTATGGGCAATTGTCTTGTCGTACAAAATGGTCGTTTCCGAGGCATCGAAATCTTGCTGTATTTCATGCGTATTTCCATTAATTGCCGTTTCACGATTTCCATTGCTAAGAGGGTCGTCCGAATCGTTCCGTATAGGACCAGAATGTACAGAAGGAGCAGCGTTTTGAACCCACTCCTGAAGCAACGCGTCACGAGTTGCGACTTGCGATGAGAGCACATTCACTCGCGCTCGTGTGATGGCGTGGGCTTTGCGTTCGAGTTCAAGATCATGTTTGAGAGAATACAGAAGTCCTTCATCATATGCGGATGCTTGCGAGTCGTGAAAAGTTTTGGTACGGTCTAAAGTGATATCTCGCTCAACAAGCGGCTCTGTGAAGGACATTATTTAAGGAACAAGCCACCAATGTTGGCCACACGTACCAACACGAGTAGAGAGATGAAGCTTACTATATGGCCAGTGCTTAAAGTCGCCATGGCTTCGTTCTACTAAACGCATCATAGCAGGTCAACGAACGAGTATAGCAAATACACAACACATACCCGCACCTTTATCAATAAGTTGAAGAACAACATCTTTACAGTCGTCCCTCTCTTTTTCCGTCGCGTTCAAAAGAGATTGTACCTTTCGTAAACGAGATTGCGCTACAAGGCGTAAAGAGCGCTCCTGCTCCAGTTCCTCCTGGTGTCGTAGGACAGCCTCATCGAGCGTGTTAAGTGCAAGCAAACGTTCCTGATGAAGGAGTGATGCTCGAGTCTTGTATATTTGAATTTGGGATTCGAGAAACACTATCTGAGGGTGTAATGAGAAATGTTTTAAATCCATAACAAAGTTAAGAAGCGCACCTGGGCATCACGATGACTAGCTTTCAGCGGTGTTTCTGTCATTAAGAGGACCGCGGAAAGGGGTCAGTGGCGGACGATGACCTGGACCATCCACAGCTACACCGTGGACGGTGGTTGGTGCTGGTGAAGAATCAACGAAATGTTCTCGTACTTTTTGTAACGTGATACGCTTTAGTGACATTCTTAAACTACATTGTGTCCAGCATTTACTCAACTCCGAATCCGACAGTGGCCCGCCTAGCTCAATCGGCCAGAGCGTCAGACTTTTAAGGCGGGTTGATCCGTTCCATAATCTGAAGGCTGCGAGTTCGACCCTCGCGGTGGGCTATCCTAAAAACTTCCTCGTCTATTTTTTCCGAGGCAGAATAATCGAATTCGCAGAAGTCCGATTCGAAGTTCATTGTGCGTTGCTCAGGCTGCAGCTGGGTTCAAGTGCACAGAATGGCTCCGAAATTTCGCCGCCCGCCTAGAGCTCAATCGGCCCGAGCTTCAGACTTTTAAGGCGGGGCGATCCGTTACGCAATCTGAAGGCTGCGAGTTCGACCCTCGCGGTGGGCTACCCTACTGCATTTATCTTTTCTTGAAGGACGGGGAGACCTTTCTCGGTACCATCTG